CAATAAAATAAATATGTATTTATTTTTTAGAAAATACAAGAGAAGCGGCGCATCCACCGCTTCCTATGACGGCACGCCACTGGTATTTGCTTCCTCTTGTTTTGCCGCTTGGCAAGTATCTGTAATGTAATACTGTTGTACTGCACTTGTAAACTTTGTTATTCGGATCGATATACTCTCAAATAACCATACTGGCAAATCGGTACCTGCGATTTTGGTGAACATATGTTTATTTTCTGTCCAGAAGCTTGGCAAAAGTCTGTATTGTATATAGCTGTACTGTACATAGGTGTTTTCCGTACCCACAGGCGGTGGTACGGGTGAGTTTTATGTCGCTTGAAAGTTCTTGAAGTTTTATGTTTTCCATTTTATGACTTCTATTGATGTTCAACATTTGTATACACTGTTTCCTGTCTATTCGACTTTGCACACAAATTTTGTATTTATGTCACTACTCTGTACTCAATCTTTTGTTACATTTTGTTGGTTTTGTTAAATACAGGGCTGTGGAGTCGCGTAAAAATCTACCGACTCCAACTCCGACTCCGACTCCGACTCCGACTTTTCCTTACCATCCGACTTCGACTCCGACTTCGACCAGGGACGGACTTGTTACCGAAAGAGACCCGAAAATTCTGATGTCATCACGTGACCTCAGAATAAAATATTCAATAAATATAGTTGTAATAAAGATAGAACGTAGAAACTTTTTATTTCAAAGCTAAACGACTCCTCTAAGTAATATATAAATATGTATTCGATAATTTTTACTTTTCCGGCTGTTATATATAACAGAGGATATATAACAAAGTGTAGCGCTCGGTTAAAAAAATGACCCTTCCCAAATTTTTACATTTTTGAACTCGGAACACCTTGAAATTTCGAGTTAATTAAGCAAAAGATTCGAGGTTTTTTCTATATGTGTGGATGTTAGACTGTATGGGGGGTATGATTTTGTTCACCCTGTTTGAAGCCTAATGATTTCTGTGGTCAGAGTGGTCAGAATCGGAGTCAGATGGTTTAATACAGGAGTTAGTTATTAAGCGTCAAAGTGGTTGAATTAAATTGTGTCCCCATACACATTCTAACATCTTAGGCGAGAACATCTTAACGGTTTTACTGTACTATTATAAAATGACAAATAAAAGCTTACTTTGAGGGTAGAGACGAGTTTTATTTTATTTTTTTAAATTTTGAACGCTAATGACGAGTAAAATATTCATTAAGAAGTATGACACATGACCACTTTTATGTCTTCACCCTGTAGACCTTTAATTAAGAACTAAAATTTAATAGTGTTAATGCCCCTTTATACGCAAGCTACAGTGCCACATTTCGTTTCTTAAACTTTACCCATTCTGAGATATTATTTAATATCTCAGAATGGGTAAAGTTTCAGAACAGATATCTCTGTTCTGAGATATTGTTTAATATCTCAGAACAGAAAATAAAGAAATTAAACAAATTAGACGCCAACACACACACACACAATTTTTCCCCTTTTATTGACTTTTTTGAGGGGTTCGGGAGGTCTCCAAACGTGTAGATTTGTGGAAAAGAAACTTGGAGGGTCAAATTTGACACGATTCCAATACTTTTCCGTTTTATATACATAACAAGTTGGTAAGTAAAAAGGAGTCGGAGTCGGCGGATTTTTTGACGACTCCGACTCCGATTCCGACTCCACAGCCCTGGTTAAATAAAACTATGCTGACGCCCACGAGCCTTCCTCCTTCGTCCCCTTTCCTATCTTTCTTTATACTTTACCTTCACCTCTTCTCTAAATATTACTTTTCTTTTCATTTCACACCCGGGAAATACCTCTGAGTAGTCCCGAGTCTTCATCCCCTTGGTGCTAGAAGTGGTCAACAGGGGTGGTCAACAGGTTTTGCCCCAGGGCCGAATTGGAAAGAAAACTTTTTTCACGGGCCGAACCAGAGACTTCCCTAGGAAGATTTTGAGGTGGTGCGAGATCTCATTGTGGTGTCTAAATTGTACAGTACATAGTGATTACAGATACATTTTTCACATTATCAAGCTTTATTAACATTCTACGCTGTACTGTACTTAGGAGATTTGTAATGGAGCGTTAACACTAATCGCACAGTGAATTGTTGACTTTTTTGTTTTTTTTTTATTTTTTTTAGGCGTCAGAATTTTTCATCGAGCTATTCCGACTTGAGTAGCTAATATTGGAAGATTAATCGCGGACCACATCAAATCATTAGATGGGCCAACATGCCTGGTCTAGAAGAAGTGTCGTTTAACAGTCGCATCCAGAACCAAAAGTGTACCATGAAACCCAGATGAGGGAGGTCAGTAAGTAACCCCAAGTCTATGAGGGAAGTTAGATGTTGACCCAAACTGATATATTTTTTTATTGCTATGTTTGTTTCTATAACTTTAGATTTTTCATAATAACTCAACTTTTAGAACTCAAAACAATTTTTATTGTTGAAAATAATTATTATAAAATTAAATTAATTAAACTCAGTATTACACTTAGTAAATACACTAAATACACTTTATAGTTACTACTATAGTCAGGATTACAATTCCTCAAATCAAAATAATATAGGCTAATATTCACACAAGAGCAACAATCCATCACGCAGCATATTTCTCTTATAGGAACCACTATAATTATTGAATTTTCGTCAAATATACTCTAAAGTATTCACAAACCGTAAGGGGATAAGAATAAAAAAAACTCAAATTCCAAAATTAATATTTGTTTATAATTTAGACAAAAATATGAGCTAGGGTCACAAGTGACCCCCCTCATCTGCATGCGACTGTTAATTGGTGAAATTGTAATCGCCGTTTCGTATGCTTGGATAATTTGATGGAGAATTTATCGTCCGTTTGATAAGAAAAGGATGATAAACTACAAATTTATCAATCGTATAGCCACTGTATAGTACAGTACATGTACTGTACGTACACTATACTATTACGGCAGGATACTATTAAAATCGAGAGAATAGATTTTAAATTAAATAAATTTTTAAAATATAATTAAAAATTGCAGCCCGGAATTGTGACGATGTCTCAATAATTTTCGCGTGTCCTGTTTGTTTCATTATCAATACGATTCATTAGTAACGGGATTTATCCTGTTAGTTTCATCATCTTAATGATGAAACACGTAGAATAAACCTCTATTTTACCATTACTCAGTTGATTAAGAATTAAACTAAAATTAAAATTCGATTTAGAAAATCTAAAAGGTTGCTTTACTAATTAACTTTTTTAACCGTTTATTACGTATTTTTAGAATTAGATTAATTGATTTAAAATATTCTGAAATAAAATGAGTTCGAATTAATTTACATATTCAATTTGCTAAGTTATATTTCGACGAATCCGGCGTCGTAATTTGATTAAGGTAAATGTTTATTTGAATCGGTAACAGAAAAGCAAAGAAAATTAATGGAAATTGGAACTTTTAAAACGTCAATAGCCTATTACATTTTCATTTTGAAATTGTAAAAACTGATTAATAGGTCACAGCATTGTTTGTCAATTATGTAATCTGTTTTCAAAATTTTGTTGTTATCGAACATAAACAATAAAAAGCGAAAACGTGCACAAAATAGAGTTTGACCGCTGTTTATCTAGAAACTTTTTTAATCCGAATAAAATTACGAAATGAAAAATGAAAAATTTCCGCCATTGCTAGTGTGGGTAGCCTGAGGTAGGACGAAGTCGTACCTCGTTTTGATAGGCAACAGTTTGGTGTGAACTGCCCACTGGTCAGTGGATGGCTAGGATAATGTTTTTCTATCCCGGAAAGTCGGGACTCTTTTGTCAGGTCGAGTGGAGGAGATGAGAGGGGTCGTCGGTAAGACGTTGGCGATATTCGAATTAAAGATACCAATTAACAACAAAACAAGAATTTATTAGACGATAACATAACTAACATAGATACATTATATCGCGCGTACACGCGGAAGTGGAGGGAAGCGCACGAGAGAGAGTTTACATTAATAGATGTCATACCTCTACGAGTGGGAGCGGATGATTTTGTGGACAGATCGGACAACTTCGGGTCGTTCGGGTCGTTGAGACCTGACGGTAGTGATGAGGATCGGCATGGGAGCTTAGCGTTAACGGTCGGGAAGACGGTAGGCGATGTCGGGTTATCGGATCGGCGGCGATGAGGTCTTGATCACGGACGGCGAAGTCGACCCCCTTCGTCGGTCGTCCCCTCTTTTATACCTTCTATCACGTTATCTCTTTACACCAATCGTAGATATCTTCGGATAAGATTCTGGTGATTCAGCTTCGGGTTCCGGAGGGAAAGGAAGTTACTCCGGAGACGGGAAGACGAACATCCGTCTCCGAAAAGTTTCGAAAGAGGGTAAAAATAGAGGGTTTCTTTGTTTGAAATAAATATTCTGATTTATTAGTTTTGTTGTTCAAATGACTTAAATTCGTTTAATTCGATCTGATTTTCACACTAGACGGTACTTGAGTGATGACACGTGGCATTGTGTGGGCGATTTCAAGACTGATTACTTACAGTTTAAATAAATAAATTTCTTGAAAACATTGTTATAAGTGTAGAACTAATTGATAGAATTGGTTGAATTCTTCTAGAAATGTTGCAAAAAATATGTAGTTCAGCAAAAAAAAAAAAAAATGTTAGTTTGTAATGTTCCTAGCAGAGCTTTAGTAGCATAATTAATGCGTCAGGAATGTATTGTTAAATTTTTATGTGACTTCTGTTGATTTAGAATATAAGTAACTTCGCCAAAAATCTAGAAACAAAAATATCAGAAAATTGGTGATGTATCTGAAAATGTTAGCATTTTCTTCTCTGTTATCGTCAAATATTAATATCGTTTTATTTCCGTTTAAATTAATAAAATACATAAAACTCACACATCACTTACTTTTTTAACTAATAGAGAACTGTTTGATACACAAAATATTTTTTGATTGATTTCTCGGAAGCAGCATGGAAAATTACGTTATTACATACATATTGTAAACCTTTAAACGTTTTTCATTACTCTAATTAACTCTTCGTAAACATATTTCTTTGCTTCGATTGCGACTATGAAGTCTAGATGACCCCATTTTTCTAATTCCACTTTATAGTCTGCTGCCAAATTTTGGATCTTCTCTCGAAGTATACTCACGTCTTTAGGATCGGCCAAGTTGTCGTTTTTACTCCAGAAAAGCGCAATGGGAGTGCGAATATTTTCTACTTTATACTCGGGAGGTGTAGGCTAAAACATAATTATTAAATTAATACACAAAAATGAATATAAAATAAGATTGCGGACATAAGGATAGCTATGGATAAGGGATTTATCACCTACCTGATTGTAGGCTATTAAATTTTTCTGTTTTCCGTAATTGAATTTTGGAAACGATTTGGAATTAATTCTCTATGACAGATAGAAAATTATTATTGTTGTATTAGAACTATAAAATTTTCCTAAAGAAGCGGCTTACCTGTCCAAGATGAATCATATTCTTCGTACTTGTACCCGCAGGAAAGTGCGAAAAGTAGACGTCCATACGCGTCTAAAACACTTTATATTAGCCGACATTAAACTAAAATTTTCTCAACAATCATCTTACCTTATTTACTAGAGACGAATCTCCATTTATTACATAATAGAGACTGGAGCATAACTTATTTCCTAAGCTACAGCCACCGAGTGCAAACAAATTCGTAATGTAATCGTTTGACAAAAATCCTTTCCTTCCTACAATGTTAGTTAAAAGCTAAAAAGAAAAACAATTAGAATTGTTGATGGAGAAGACACCGAATAGTGTAGGACATACTCACATTTGCCGTACTAGTTAAAGGGGCAAATACCCGAAAAGGATTTGTTATGTAGCCGACTGTGGCCACCGGTGCTAGCGATAATACTATTTTGATCTAAGAGATTAAACATGTTAGTTTCGAACGATACATAATTTACTCGGGTAACATTATCACCTGCCTTGTTATAGTCGGGTGTCTCGGAGAGAAAAGCGTAGGCATTAGTGGTGCCCTGTGAATGTCCCACGTAATATAGTTGATTCTGTTTAGTGACGTTCAAAATAAAGTCTACCGTGTCGGGTAGGTCGTACTTGGCAAATTCGTCGATACTAAAGAGTAATCATTAATTAATTAAAATATCTACAAACGATTTAAAGTCTTCCACTTTCGACTTACGTGAAATTCCAAAATCGTTCCTCTTCGGGTGAATATTCGATATGTTTTTGGGAGTAAACATTGCCTCTCTGATTCCCCAACCAGACGTCGTAACCCTCGTCGGCCAGAATAAAACCTAAACATAATTTTAAAATCCGAAGAACTGTTACAAATATCAGAAATATTCATAAAAACCCGAAGATTATAATTGTCAATCCAGACTGCTTTTAATCCATCGAAGTTTAGCGTAAAATATTTCACTCTTAAAATCAGTCTGAATATTCGATAAAACAGAAATCAATTAATAGAAAATATCACGGGAATTCCCGAAAACGAGGTCTTACCCAGGCTCTGGTGGGGAAAATTCATCACCCAGTCTGCGGATGATCCGAAAAGTCCGTGTTGCAGGAACACCACCTGACGATCCGTGGCGTTTTGTTTACCCGATACGCCACGTGGTATCCTTTGGATTCCCAAGATGTAACCGTCTCTGGTCTGGACGGAATATTCTTCCACCGGATAGCCCTTGCTGCCGATCATTTGACTCTAGGATAAAAGACGATTTGGCTGACAGAAATGTAATAAACTAGACAGCGGATTTTAGGCAAATGCCTATTTCTCCCTTAGCATACTGAAAGTGAATTCTCAGTTCATCTTCTTCCAAGGTTGAAATACAGATTATATGCTCTTCTCTGCATATCAATTAATTCTCGGTGACAAACGTTGCAACTTTTCTATTGAAAATTTGGAAAAAGTGTTTGTAATAGCCTATATTACGAAGCTAACTATGGGAAACAGAGCGAATAAAAAATGATAATTGTTTGTCTACTTTTGTGTTTGCATCATTCTAAATACGTGCATTTTTGTTTGGAATACATATGTTAAATAAAAAATTAATCGTCCTGATAAGTAAGTTAATTGTTCATTGTGTAAATTTTGACCGTCTATTTTTTGTTTATAAAGCCTAAACGACGTAATTTAAGAGTTTATTTTATTTTAAGTTCCTAAAACGCCACTTTTAAGTGCCTATAGGAATCAAATTTAAACTTACCACGTTTCTGTTTACGTCGGGATCCTTATCTCCAAACGTTGGTAACATGTTAAATAAGTCGAAACAACTTGTCAAACCCCAGCACAGAAATATCAATAGAAGACGGGCAACCGAAGGATGCATTTCTCTACCAATTCTACCAAATACGAACGAATAACGACGATTCTAACGCCATTTATACAGTCCGTATCGGTTATACAGTATATACCTCTACCTTCTTACGCGATGTGTATTGACTTCATTGCCGTTTAACCAATGTCTGTGGATACGTCGATGTTTACATGTATTGGTGTAGTTTATTCACTTTTAATTGTTTTTAATTGATTCGGATCGGAAGATCGGTGACTTTATACGTGTACGTCATTGCCGGTTTTTCTTTTTCGAAATTTATGTAAGTTGGGTAAACTATCGCAGGGTTAATTAATAGAACAATCGAACGTATCCAACACATCATTGTTACGTACCGTGAAAGTCGTATGAATGTTGTATTATCTGTTTTTCCACTTTATTGTCAGAGGCAGAATTTTAATACCTTTTCTTTCAGTCGACTTTATCTAAACACTCGAACCCTAGAGATAAATTTCCATTGGTTAATCGAGTTACGATTCGATATATTTCGAAGTTTCGAGACTAACGTTTTCGCAGGATTTGTGTAACCCGAAAGAAACATCCGCCAAGTTAGAAACAATACCTGTAAAGTCTATCTCGACAGGTAACAAAGTCGCCTTTTATTGCTATACGTATTTTACGTATAACAATAAAAGGCATATTTACGTGCACTTGACAGTGAGTATATCTGGCACGTGAGCGTAACTTTAAAAAAAGTATGATATACTTATCATACTTTTCCCTTAAAAAAGGTGTCATGTCGGTCATCTATTTAACGAGAAAGTTCGTTCTGAAGAAAAATTTTGAAGTGATATCATGTGACTTCTGGTCCAGACCAAATGTTCAAATATAGTTACTCGAGGCCTCCTGTTCCTAAGCTTTCTTTATCTGCTCTTGACTTTCATCTGTCTTTCTTTGTTTGCAAAATTAACGATGAACAGACACACAAATAGACGCTAATGAGGCATTTATGGGTCTGCAATTTGAAAATTGCAGCCCAATAAAATAACTGATACGTTCGAAACGACAGAAAGATAATAATTGTAAGTATTCGTCTTTAAATGGCAGTTAATAACATAATATTTATTTAGAAAACTAAGCAATTATTACAGTTGAATCCGTCTATCTCGAATCTCACGAAAACGAGTAAAAATGCGAGATATACAGATTTCATACACGTTACATTTCACGAAATTATATTACAGCAGGAATGGCCCTCGTGCCTTATAGGAGGCATATTTATCTATACTAATATTATAAAGAGGTAATGTTTGTAAGTAAGTAAGTAAGTTTGTATGCAGCAGGTAATCTCCGAAACAACTCATCCGATTTCAAAAATTCTTTCACCAATATTTAGAATGGAACTTCAGGGTGGACATAGGCTGTATATTATCCCGTTAAACATTCATATAAATTAAAAGATATAATCTAGGTTAAGGCTTTTATGTCCAACAAATGGCGCTACGAGTAAGACGCTCTAAGTTTGCTTTTCTTTTAGGCATTATGCTTTCCTGTGAAAATGAACTAAAGCGGATCATCTTCTATCTATTTATATAAATAAAAATGTAATGTTCGTTTGTTCCTACCGATTCCTTTGAAATTTTGACACAACGCTGCATTCGAATACGCACGTGTTTTTATATAATATACATGTCAAAATTGAACCTCACTGAAGGGAGATGGTTAGGATTAAGGCCTACGGTAAAGAACTCTGCTTCTATTTATACTATTTTAGATGCGGGTTTCTGCGTTTTTGATTGCGTTTTAATAGTTGCAATTTATAACGTTTTCAGCCTTGGAGCTTTTTGTAATGTTTTACAGGCCGAGCTTTTTGCAATTTTGAAGGCTATTGATTGGTGTGAAGGAGTTGTCAATAATGCTAGAATTGCGATAGTAACAGATTTTCTTTCAGCACTAGCAATGCTCAGGAAAGAGTCTATTTATGCCTTGTTGTTAATTGATTTGCAGCAAACTGTTGTTATTTTATCAGCTGTTGTAACATTATTGTTATACTTTGTAATGGTGTGTTCTAGTTATACTTTGTAACGGTGTGTTATAATTATACTTTGCATAAATACTCGATATGTAAACCAATTGCTGTTAGTACATAGTACATCCATGTTATTACTATTTATGTTTGTAAATTAACAAATGTACTTAAATACGAGTATAAAGAATTGTCCTGTAAAATCATAACATATAACTGCAATTTTACAATGATAATATACTGTCATTTTATGTCTGTAAAACCAACTGACAAATATATTGTATTATAATACCTGATAATGCATTTGCGACATTAGGTCATGTAACCTTGTTACATTAATAAATCTAAATAAATGAATAATAATAATGAATGCGTTTTAATAGGGTACGTCAACATAATGTACACTAACAAGAAATTTTTCGAAATTCCCCCGCGGGGGAGAGAGACAGGATAAAGGCTTACCATGAAGAACTCTGCTTCTATTTATACTATTTTAGATGCGGGTTTCTGAGTTTTTGATTGCGTTTTAATAGCCGCAATTTATAACGTTTTCAGCCTTGGAACTTTTTGTAATGTTTTACAGGCCGAGCTTTTTGCAATTTTGAAGGCTATTGATTGGTGTGAAGGAGTTGTCAATAATGCTAGAATTGCGATAGTAACAGATTCTCTTTCATCNAACCATCTCCCTTCAGTGGGGTTGAATTTCGACCCCACTGAAGGGAGATGGTTAGGATTAAGGCTTACGGTAAAGAACTCTGCTTCTATTTATACTATTTTAGATGCGGGTTTCTGTGTTTTTGATTGCGTTTTAATAGCCGAAATTTATAACGTTTTCAGCCTTGGTGCTTTTTGTAATGTTTTACAGGCCGAGCTTTTTGCAATTTTGAAGGCTATTGATTGGTGTGAAGGAGTTGTCAATAATGCTAGAATTGCGATAGTAACAAATTCTCTTTCATCATTGCAATGCTCAGGAAAGAGTCTACTCATCCTCTAGCCTTTACCATTCTACGAACATTAATTGACTCCGACAACGAATACTACTTCAGTTGGGTATGTACACATAGTGCAGACAAGGGGAATGATCGGTCCGACCAACTTGCCAGGTTGGCGGCTGGTGATGAGAATATTACTATTAGCTATAACAAAATTTCTACCAAGGAGTTAAAAAAGGTACTATGGAATGAAATGCTTCTGGAATGGCAGCGTGACTGGAATGCTAACACGTCTTTTACCAAGCTATTTTTTCCTGAGATTTTTAAACTTATACATAATACTTGGATTGTTGTTAATCATCAAACTGTTAATTTTATACTGGTCACGGGCGTTTTAACTCATATTTAACTCGCTTTACTACATACAACAATAACCTTTGTCCTGTTCGCAATACAATTGATGACAGTCTTCATTATATATTTGATTGTATTTCTACTGAATGTGAAAGAAACAATATACGGACTCACATGATTAGCAAAAATTTATTTTGGCCCTGTGAAGCCCATGCGCTTATAGTAGATAAAAAATCTCATGATTTGCATCTCCAATTAATTGAAAAATATTTACAAGTTACTGCAATCCATTGAGTCTTCTTACAGATAAAATCCTTCTCTTTTACTGATGTATTTTTGGTGGAATGTTGTTTCATACATCATCCCCTCTGCTTATTGATGGCATGTTTTGACCTTCAGTTTCCTGTGCAGCTTTGCAACTTTATCATTCAAGGTCTTTTGTGGTGTTAAAGGACATCAAATGGACTTTCCAAATGCTCTTTTGTGGTGTTTAAGGACACTCTCAGACTTTTGCAGCTCTTTCCACCAACGGACTTTTGTGATGTTGATACCAATAGATTTTACAGCGGTACAACTCACTTATTTTGTAGTGTTTAGAGTCACCCTCGAACTTTTGCGGCGCTTCTCACTCACGGACTTTAGTGGTGTTGAAGATATCCATGGACTTATGAAAAGTTCACAGTGATAGTCTCATATGTGTTGACTTTGAAAATCTTCTGTCAACTGGAACATCGCTGTTCTAGATACGTTCATTGTCACGGGTTTGCTTTTATATTTAAGTTTTAATTGTTAATATAATATTGCATATTAGCATTTATGCCTTGTTGTTAATTGATTTACAGCAAACTGTTGTTATTTTATCAGCTGTTGTAACATTACTGTTATACAGTAGAACCTCGATTATCCGGACTAATTGGGGATGAAGGTAGTCCGGATAAGGAAAAATCCGGATAATCGAAACAAATACTTTAATTCGTCTTTTGATGATAATACAACACGTTTTCTTTTGGATGACATATCGGCAATATTAAAAGTAAATACTGTATTTAAATGGTGATCAAACTTTCAAGAAACAAACGTTCATATTGAATTTGGACTACTACCGACCAACGCTAACAGACTACTTATTGTTTAAAAGGCCCTCTGGTGGCGCAAGAAGACGGATTTTATAAAATAAAAAGCAGTTGAAACTGCATTTTTATGAATAAAAATTTGACAAACTATTTATCGTTTTATGACGAGTAAAATTTTTTCGTCGCGTT